CGATAAAAAAAATTCCCAAAATCACCTTTTCGGCCAGCCGGACGGGTTCTCACTTTTGACAGGCAAATTTGCAGTGCGATTAATAGAGTTACCATTTACGCTTCAACACGATAGGGAAATTGTTATGTTTAGGTTTTATTTCACTTTATTTATTAAACTGTGTATGTGGTTTTGTTATGTGTAATCTTTAAAAGCGAGTGATATTTACGCGCGGCGTTTTGAGTATTCCTGTATGCGATGTTTATGTTCGACTGCAAACAACCGGTGCAGCGATAAAAATTGCGGGAGGGACTACTAACAATCAATAAAATAAATATAATTCGGTGAAACATGTACAGAGACAATAATTTTCATTCACGAAGAGAAGTATTGAGAGTAAAGTGTCTCTGAAAATCATGAGTCAGGTAAGCATAAACTTATTTATGTTTTAAGCCGGCTTCCCGGTGTTTGCTCTTTTTCAAGATGAACGCGAGGCAAGAAAATCGCTCAGAGCTTTCTGTTTATAGCCAAAATCATAACTAAATAATCTTTGGAACCTTTTCTTTGAATTTGGGGTCAAAAATGTCTAAAGGCTTTTTAAACCTGATACTATTGTTGGTTAGATCATCGCTCCTGTATAAACTAAAGCCGCATAAACCATACGCTCGACTTCAGGAAACCGAAAAAAAAAAAAAAACATCAAAGACAATAATTGCTCAGGCTTACCAGTCGAGATGCTGCTTCTGAAGGTCATCAAGTGTTCCAGAATCGCTGGAGACTTTTCAACCCTCTTACGCCTCAAGCAAGGACAAGTGAGGAAGCTCATTCTTGAAAACGATGCCATCCGAAATCGGATTTCCAATGACTTTCACAACCGGTGCATTTGTCAACATAAAGCGCAATAAACAAACCAGCCATGAATTACAGAACAATCTTGCTAGCAGCTGTATTTCATTTTGTACACCAAGTAGAAAAGGACAGTTTAAAACATCACAAGATGACACAAAACTCTGTCAGCTCCAGCTATCAGTAAGCAAGTTTCCAGACGCTGCATAAATTTTCCGCATGAACTCACCTGTCAAATTTTGACCAATCAGAACATAAAAGTTGGACGTAGAGCGTGATCAACGCGTGACAGTGAGAAAAGTCAAGAGCGATTGCCTAACCTGCATGTAAAAGCGGGTTGAATTTTCGCGTCCGAAGTCAGTTCGAAATCAAAATTTTAAAACGGACTCATAAACACGACTTATTTCATATGCATTTTAAAAAAATTGAACTAGAGCCTGCGATCATGTGAAAAGTAGCAACTTGTCAGCGGACACCTTCCAAAAAATACTCAAACTCAGTGGGTCGATACCTGAGTCCGCAATACGGTCAGGCGATACTGGTCAGCAGAAACACTATTTTGACAGCTGTCAATTAATCAAAACATGGATATACAATATCAGGTTGCAGGCTCTCAAATTAGCAAAGAAAGTGTGAGGTTAAACATTGGTATGACTGTGGCGCGGACGGTCGGGTGGTCGGTGTAAGGTCACGTGATTGCCGAATTTTGTAGGATGGATAGATTTTCTAACCTCTGGGGCTTCGGATTGAGCACGTGATCAAATAAGATATCAGCGCAAAACTTTAAACACTACGTGAAGTCAATGGATAGAAAAATGAGCCCGCGATACACTCAGGTGATGATGGTCAGCGCATACTCTAGTTTGACAGCTGTCAATTAACCTTAATTAGATTGGCGAATATTCGAATTAACAGACTACGAGTGTGAGTAAGGCATATCCGTCCGGCTTGTAGTAGAAAATGCCAGATCGTTTACCTCAGCGAACCTGAGCCCACGTTATTAGTTTTCTGATACTGGTCTGCACATGTCCTGTTTTGACAGCTGTCAATTGACCTTAATTTGGCTTCCCAATATAACTTTAAACGACTGTCAGCCAACTGACAGCCTTGCCCGGCGTAGTTTCGTTTTTATGTTGAATTGGCAAGTGTGACATATTATAACAGCTTATATGTAGGGGCAAAACGACTGGTCTTTCATCTGAGCCCGCGACATAGTCATGTGATAATTGTCAGCGGATGTCTGATTTTGACAGCTGTCAATCTAATCGTACTCATACGGATGGCTTACATAACTGAAAGGCTAGTCAAGTTGTGCAAGATCTATTGTGACATTTGACATCGGCTTAAATGAAGTGTGTGTACGGGTGGGCGTACGCTACGTCATAACCAAATTTTCTGGGATGGATAGTTTACCAAATTTTCTTACCCATGGTGCTCCGCTGCGCGCGCGCTTCGCGCGCGTGGGAGCTCCGCTAATAATAATAATAATAATGATAATAATAAAACAGTGATGTGTTAATATTTTCGCCGACCAATGAAAAGATACCTATATACAAGCAGCTGCTACAGTCAGAGAGACTGAATAATTGTTGCATAAATTCCTCTAACGGCTTTGCGTGGAATGTTTTTTGGCCAGGACTCGAGCCAAGACTCTACTTAGGACTTTTCAAGGCACAAAATGAAAATAATATGATAAACAAATAATCAAAAGTAAAATAAAAGTAACAAAAGGACTACTAACGTTACTTGTAACCTCTTTACCCTAACCCCAACCCTAACATTAACCCCGGTAACCTAACCCTAATTCAAGCTTACCTTCCATGACTGTCCCAAAAACCCTCCTCGTATTGGTCATGTGACTTGCAGGAGGTGAAAATGGTGGGAAAGCGAAAAATTGTCTAGTCCTTGCTCGAGTCTCATCCTCGTTTTTCGCTATGATCAGATAAGGATTTATAAATTCTACACAGAATCGAAAAAGGTCATTCTTGAAAACTGCCAATCATCATAGAGAGGGAATATATACCTTTTTCGAAAAAGATTTTTGACAGATTGCCGAGGTAGTCTAGTGGAGAGGAGCACTGCTTAGCAGGACTGAGGTTCCGAGACTCTGGCCCCCTGTGCCAGGTTTTTTCTTAGTCGTTTTGTTGTCTTTTTTTCTCTTTTTTACCTGTGTGGTGCATCCAGCCAGTAACATAATGTAGTAAATTGAAAGCAATACATGAACATAAACAATTCCGTATGTATCGCAGAGTATTTACTGTTAGATTTTATACTGGACACTGGTATCATTCAAGGCCCAGTTCAACGTCGAATTTTACATGTGCCGAATTTAATTCGAGAGTCAACTGCATGTGAGAATGGAAATGCTTTGATCCGCAACTAAAACAAACAATTACCCAATCACGGTGCTTATTTGGAGTCAAGTGACGCAAGGCTTGTTTTCATGAAGTTATGTATTGACAGTCAAGAGTCAAGAGTAGTGAAGGGCAGTATACACGATGAAAAAAAAATCAGATATGAGCACAGGTGGCCCAAGCTCGAAATATGACCATCGGCACTGTTGCGTAAATCTCAAAATATAAGGATCTGTATGGGAGAAAAAAACAATTGTTTCTGTAGCCTACGAATGTAAAAGGATTTTAAAAAAATCGTCTAACCTTGCTTAATTATAAGTTGTGTGTGTCTTCTTTCCTGTGTTGTTTCCGAGCTGATTTATGGCTATTTAATGGGTGTTATTGGAACCCGTTTGCTCTCTCTGTTCCAATAACAAGCCTGAATTTCATCCGATTACTTCGAGTCGTTATTACTCCCTCAGTAACGTCTAAATCGACCGGCCGTTAATGCCGTCCAGTGACGTCACTACTCCTTGACCTTTGCAAAAAGAAAAACACGATTTTCAAGTGGCAAACCGAGAAATATCGTTTGGAAGTGTCTGCATGATTTAGAATTGCTTTATTTTTTTCGATCGTAATTCACGTTTAACGTTCAAACTAGTACTGAATTCTATAATCAAACTCGGTCGCAATCACGGAATGGAATAAACGCACACACGGAACACTTAGTTCAAAAACACAATGATTTGGTTTAATTGAAAAGAAGCTGTTTGGTCCTTGACGAAGGGGAAAAACAAGGAAACAAGAAAGAAAAGCTAACAGAATCATTACACTTGACGGTGAAAATAGCAAGAATGTCGAATTATAACATTGATCTCAGAAAACTTTGCGTAAACAAAATCACCGTAGCCGCCGAAACCACAAAGCGGCTCTAAATGAAAAACCTACTGATTCTCCGCAATGATTCTTCATTCGCAGTTCAATTTAGTATATCAGTTTCGAAGACAAGGGCAAATTTTGCTGTTTAAGATAAAGATTAAGCTTATCGAAATGTTTGAACTACTTAAAAGAATGCCAGGGATGCGATCCGCTAAATATCAAGCGACAATCGCGCTAAAATTTTTCACAGTTATACAGAATTATGCAAACATTTAGACAATCAACCAATCAAAATCACTCCCTGGTTTTCGGGTAGTGAGTGACGTCACTGGACGGCATTAACGGCCGGTCAATTCAGACTTTACTGAGGGAGTAATAACGACTCGAAGTAACCGGATGAAATTCAGGCTACCAATAACACCCATTAAATGGCCATAAATCAGTTCGGAAACCACACAGGAAAGAAGTATGAGGGGTGATCTCCGCAAATATTCTCTTTCAAATGCCATTATGACGAACCTGCAATTTCCGGTTCCATCATCAGAACCGAAATTAGACCAACAGAACAGAAATTGAGAAGTCAGAACCGAAATTGAACTAACAGAACCGAAATTACGAAGTTAGAACCGAAATTGAACCAACAGAACCGAAATTAACAAGTCAGAACCGAAATTGAACTAATAGAACAGAAATTACAAAGCCAGAACAACAGAAATTGAACTAACAGAACAGAAATCAAGAAGTTAGAAGAGAAATTAACAAGTCAGAACCGAAACAGAAATTAAATATTAACATAACCGTCAATTTCTGTTCTAAATGGGACTGGGGCCGTGACGAAAGTGCTGACCGAGTGAAGCCCGGGGAAAACCACTTTAAAATATTTCAATTTATGATTATTAACCTCCGCCGTATATTTGCATTCCAACATGGCCGCCAATGAGAGTGTGTTTCTTAGAAGTATTGGAGATGTTGTTGGGGAAGTATTGAGAGATCTGCGGGCTTCAGTTTCTAAAAGAGCATTTATCGCCTTGACTGGCCGCTAGATGGTCATCGTGGCAGACTTAGCTACCAGATTATGAAGCGGTATCGGGGTCAAAAATAACTCGATGTCTATTTTCTGTGTCGTCTTGTCTCCCTGTGGCTTTGTCTTGTCTATTTCGGGGATATCCTAAAATATCGACTGGACCCTGGACTGGACTTTGGATTTGGAAAAAAAATTACAGGGTGTCCAGTTCCTTTTTTTTCCTATTTTTAAACTTAAACCTCCTATTTTTTAGCTGGTGAAGCCAAAATTTGTAACAAAATTGGAAATGGAATTATAGTTGTATGTGTTTTAGAGTGAGACATATCATAAAGCGAGTAGTATGTTGACGTTGATATTCTAATATTAGCAAAACTAATAGTTAAATTAAATGTTGTTCTTTCCATGACCTCTATCACCTATTAGAGTTCTGTTAACAACTTTGTTATATTGTTACTTTTTGTATAATTTTCTAGCACACCTACATGTATTGTATGAAGTGTTATAGTTCTCATGACTATTGAATAATGTTGTGCAGGACTAGGACTTTTTAGTCCTAGTCCTATATCCTTCAATGACAACGTAATCGTAAGAAATTTCACTCTTCGAAGCTTTTCAAACATTTGCTGCCAACTTGAAACTTTCGTTTGCGGGGAGGGGGAGGAGGGGGGTGAGGTTAGGTTAGGGGAGTGAGGTTAAATGATTTTTAGATTTGTCTATGTCCGGCCCTCATGCGTGTCCGACCATAAAAACATTATTTCTCTTTCTTTTTCAACAAAATTTTAAAAGGTGGCGGGAGGAGGGTGATTCCGGAGTAATCTTTTTTCCAGAATCCAAAGTGCAGTCCAGGGTCCAGTCGATATTTTAGGATATCCCCGAAATAGACAAGACGACACAACAAGTAGACAAGACGACATAGAAAATAGACATCGAGTTATTTTTGACCCCGATACCGCTTCATAATCCGGTAGCTAAGTCTGCCACGATGACCATCTTGCAGCCAGTCAAGGCGATAAATGCTCTTTTAGAAACCGAAGCCCGCAGATCTCTCAATACTTCTCTAACAACATCTCTAATACGATCTAAGAAACTCACTCTCATTGGCGGGTAATAATCATAAATTAAAATATTTTAAAGTGGTTTTCCCCGGGCTTCACTCGGTCAGCGCTTTCGTCACTGCCCCAGTCCCATTTAGAACAGAAATTGACGGTTATGTTAATTTCTGTTCTGTTAGTTCAATTTAGGTTCTGACTTGTTAATTTCTGTTCTAACTTCTTGATTTCTGTTATGTTGGTTCAATTTCTGTTCTGACTTTGTAATTTCTGTTCTATTAGTTCAATTTCGGTTCTGACTTGTTAATTTCGGTTCTAACTTCGTAATTTATGTTCTGTTAGTTCAATTTCGGTTCTGACTTCTCAATTTCTGTTCTGTTGGTCTAATGTCGGTTCTGATGATGGAACCGGAAATGACAGGTTCGTCATAATGGAATTTGAAACAGAATATTGGCGGAGATAATCCCTCATAAAGAAGAAACACACAACTTAAGCAAGGTTAGCTGATTTGCCGTATACCAGAAGTGTGGCCCATCTCCACAATGCACATGAAAAAGCTAGAATTTCTCGAGAACTTCCAGAGGATTTTTTGAAGACCTGAATAACAAGGATTATACTACTACAAGAGATATCTCTGCAATTTGATTGGCTTAGAACAGTGGCATTTCAGCTTAATTTGAAATGTATGTGAAAATTACAAACCTTTTGCGGGTAGTAGTATAAACAAAAAATAGCTTGATTGGTACATGATATTTGGCATAAATACCACTGGTGATATTTCAAAATTCTCTCCAATTTCACTCGCCAAACCGCTCGTGAAATTACGTATAACAATTTTGAAATATCATTCGTGGTATTTATGACAAATATCACTACAAACCTATACAAATTACCCGAAAATTGACGGGTACATCAAAGAAAAGTCTCACTTTCTCTAACATTTCCGATCCATTCTTCATCACCTTATGCTTCTTTCTTCGTTGTTGCATTACAAGAAGTTTTATAACATAGCTCGCGTGCTTGCCTTATGTAAGTCCTATTGAGCCGCTTTGAACAAAATCTTTATTTACACACGCCCGTACGCAAATAAAGATTTTTTTCATGATTATGTGTTCAGCTGTGTTTTCCATCTCTTTTCCTAAGTACTGTGAAGTACCCAAAAATCGACGGCAATGATGAAAAACGTTTCTAGGTTTTTTGGAATTTAGGTTCTAGCCACTCAAACCAAAAAAAAGGTGAAAAAGCGGTGAAGATGTTTCGCAAAAAATAGAGCCTGAATCGTTGGAAAGTCCGCCGTAAAGACTGACATTCAGCTGGAAAAAGACCACATATTGAATTTGTCTGTGCCGGAAAAATCCAATATGTGTAAAGTATCCTCCGTTTTTAACGTTTGTTTTCCTGTACAAAACAAGTTAGAAGTAAACTCAATAGCGAAAAATTATGCACTACTTATGTTACCGACGAACAATCCGATAGACTGAAGCAGAAAAATATCTCTACGAGACAAATTACACAAGAAGACATCAATTTATACTCTCAAAAACAACTGCTGCCACGTCTTTTCAAGAAGCTGTTTTATTAAAAATGACCAGTCATCGTTCGTAGATTAGGATCATGACAGCCGTCTTCACTAAAAACAAATTTCTGGATAACATAAGCATTTTTTTTTAGCGAATTCAAACCATACCCCACGACTTCTTACATGTGAGCGGTATTTTAACTTTAGGTGGACTTTAAGACTCCTTCACCTTTGTTTCTGCTTAGTTTCCATCGTTAACAAATAAATAAGAATATTTTCTTCCTCAGTTTTACAGAAAAATATTTTCTTTCAAACTAGACGATTGTGGCGTGTTTGTAACCAGCCAATAGAAGGGTTGATATTCTTTGTTGCGCGTTACGAGTTAATAAGAAGGCAAGCATTTTTGTCAGCTATGTTACAAAAGAATTTGCTGCGCCTCGAGCAACTGTTACGTATCTTCCGTGCTCTTCAAACTTCCCGCGTGCATCCATAACTCCATAAAAGCACGCTAAGCATGAAGAAATTCTTAAATGAAAGGCGAGCAAAGACGGCAGCAAAGACTGCTGGAAAAACGCGAAACACAACAGATGTCCACGCCAATTCGAATCTGCTCGAGAGTATTTCCAACCACGTTTCCAGGTTTCCCTCTCTTACTACGAGAACGGATCCTGGTTGCGGCAGATCACGTGGCACCCAAAATCTGGGAGCCAAAAACAAGGGAGGGGAGGAAGAGTAAATATTGTCGCTATGAAAAAGGTTACTCTGTCCGGGCCCGAAAGGAGTTTGTCACCTCGTTTATTATCAGCTGATGGCGCGGGTATTTGAAATTGTCAACAACACGTCGCCCGAAAAAATAGCATTGCATAATGTAAAAGAGGGAAGATTGGCTAATTACTTGGTATATCGTGCACTAGCTGATAAATTAACCAAAGCAGAAAATGCTATAACAATCTTTAAACTGCCGTCTGGGTAGTGCTTCATGCAAACCTGACTTTTGCATTATTTTTCCTTTTCATGAACTGCATGTGCGGAATATGCAAATTTACGAAAAGCTGATTATCGAGATAGATTTTTCCGTATCCTGTTGGCAGGACGGCGAGCAAATTTGTTTTCAATACAAACTCTCCAAACAAATAACCTGTTTTGCCTTCAAAATAATGTCATCGTTACTAGCCGAAAGCAACGCAGATTGACCACCAATTTTACTACGCACATAAAGAACCTGATCAGGCGGTAATGGTGATCAACAATGATGGAAGACAAGCGTCGAGATGGTACAGTGAGAATTTCCTGCAGGGAAATCCAAGCAAATATCAAGCAATAATTATATCAAATAACTCTACTCAGCGTGATGTCGAAATTGACACTTTCATAGTACAGCCAATGGATGAACTTCATCTTTTAGGCGTTTTAATTGACATGAACTTGTTGTTTAGTAACCATATATCTACATCTTGCAAGAAAGCTGGTATGCAGGTGAGCGTCCTAATGAGAATGCGCAACATGATTTCGATGAAAGTGAAATTAAGAATACAAGGGGCCGCCATTTTGCCATACCTGACATACTGAAGCCTCATTTGGCACTTTTGTAGAGGCTCAGACCGGAGAAAGCATGCAGATCATCATATGATGAGTTACTTACGCGTACACGTGGGATGTCTAGTCTTAACAATAGGCGCCTGCAGGATATCGCAATCCTCATGTACAAAGTGAAATTTATGTTAACAGCTGCGAATGTTATCGATCTTTTCAGCGGATCATTGTCTAGTTATAACCTACGAAATTCAGCCTTCTTTATTCCTAGGTTCAATACCGTAAAATACGGCAGACACTCTATTCGATACCTAAAAAGGACAGGGACCTATGCACATGATCGACTTTCAAAACAAGCATTTGGAAGAAAGACCTTTCAAGTCTCATAGCTGAGAACAGATGTTCAAATTGTAACTTGTGTAATACTTGAGACCCTACTTGTTAATTTACTTTTAGATTAATCAGATTGTAGACTATTTTATTGTTATTGTTATTGTTATTATTTATTTATTTATTTATTCATTTTTATATATAATATTTTAACGTTAATGTAATTTGTATAGGCAATAGCATGATTTGTAGTGATATTTGGCTTAAATACCACGCGTGATATTTCAAAATTGTTATACGTAATTTCACGAGCCGTTAGGCGAGTGAAATTTGAGAGAATTTTGAGACATTGTTTTTATCAAATGTAATCTTACGCTTATTAAATAGATTTTATCAACAAGGTGTCCCCGATTAGTAGGCTACTTGTGGCCAGCTAGAAGATTTTGACACGTTAATAAAGTTGTTCATTTCATTCATGCACGCAACTCAGAAACTCAAGCGCAATTTTGAAGCAAGAATTTTCTCTTTGCCCCAGATAGTATTTCATCTTCCAGTCGTCAAAATTTAGTGGAGGACCTACCCCCGCTGCGCAATTTATTAACACACATTTCCACGTGACCAGCTGCAACCAGGGTTCTCTCTCAAAGCAAGAGAGAGAACCCTGGGAAAGAAGGTTGAAATATTTCTAACCCGCCATGCTGTGACGACACGCTATTGTTTCGCACATTTCCAAAATTGCAAAAGCTCTGGACTGCTAAAAAGATAGCCCAGTGTAACCTTGGAGCCTTTTCTCCCAGATTATATATTGACACTTAACTTACCATGAGTGTTAATACAACAAAAGCAAACTGATCATGAGTCGTGCACTGCTCACTATTATAAGTGGAAAATCTCGAATCGCGATTTCGTTTTAAAAATTTGCTACACCCACTAAGGACTACAAAGTTATCACCTTTACTTAAATAATATTAAGGTTTAAACGTGAAGTTTTAAATAGTGTAAAATAATATAATTTACTTTCACCGTTATCACTTGTAATAATAATAAATAAGTATATAATAATGAAACGTTGTTGCCGAATTGAGTTAGCCTGACGAATAAGTGAATATAAACTTAAAAGAAAAGGTCCTCTGAATATATAAAAAAGTATTAGAGAAAAAAAAAGAGAGTGGGACTAGATGATATGCACTGTTATAACGCTAGACATGTCATGCTTCTAATCCGTCTTTTGACTATGGACAAGTTCTCAGAAAAAAAAAAAGATCGTTTTTCCTCCGGATGTTTTAAAAGAGCAGGCAGGGCCATTTTCAGTCTTTAAGTCAGCCTATATCTTTTATTATTGCCTATTTAATGCTTTATTTACAAATTGTTAGCTCCCCACGAGGGATGATTGGATTTTTTCGGTCAAGTATTAATAAAGGGAACATCAGACTGATTAAACAAAAAATAATTCAGTTACCGTAGTTTATTTTGCTGCATGGTTAAAAGTGATGGGTGAAACGATATATCTCAATTTAAGGTAGGATGCATTTAACAACATCAATATAGGACTCAGAATAGGGTAAATGATTCGTTTTATGAAAAGTAACACCTGTCAAAAAAGATTGTAGAATAATCTGCGTTGTTACTAACGTTTGTTGTCTTCTTTTTTTCTTTCCAACTTTGCCAGTAAGAAATAGTAAAGAGAGGTCGCCTCCAATTGATGAGGCAGGCTGGGACGAGAAACTGTTTTTTTTTTTTTGGTTTGGCTTTTTCATGACTTTTTCATTATGTATTAGGATGAAAACACTTGCGCACAAACCTTACAACAGCTGTGGTTTGGGCTCGGTATGGTGACAGGGGGATTCAGGCACACGTTTATTGGTAAGTTAAATCGCAATATACTCATTTTTCAGTTACAGATTGAACAGTACGGTTAACGTCAAAATGTGATATCATGAAAAACAAAACAACAACAAAATTTCAAAATAGGTACGCGAGCCTCACGGGGGTGAATCAATGATGTTCTCCTGGCTAAAAATTAACGTCTTCTGTGATCTCAACTGAAATATGAAGGGTAAAATGAAGTAATGGTTTATTTTACCCCAACGGCTTTACGTTTCGATAATTTATTCCCGTTAAAATTATCTTAATTCGCCGATGCCAGAATACTTTTTGTCTCAGATCCTTCTTTTCTTCATTTCTTGAAAACAATTTTAGCTAATCGAATTGATTTTCGATTCCTTACTTGCTCAATGCGATGTCACCGGTATAATCTCGTCAATACTTATCAGTAGTGTTTCTATAGTATTCACAATAAATGGTATGTACGTACAGTAACCGACTGTACTGGCAGTAATTTCAGTTGGAGCAGAAGAGCACAACGCAATACATAGGCACGTTTTACGTGCATGAGCTTTGAATCCTTCTGTGTAACAGTATCGGCAATCTACTGTTCTGATCCTAAATAGGGGCTATTTTTTGAGTGAAATTGGTTATTGCTGCACATTAATAAAAACGAGATTCTCTGCGCAAAGCTGAGTCGATCCTCTTACTATAGATTCACTTCTCTTTGTCTTTCCTCCGGACATCTGTTGCAAAATAAACAAATTGTTAAAGTGCTTTGAATATCAACTCACCAAAGGTTGTTTAGAGGGAAGACTCGAAGGTTTCAAGGTTTCTTCATGGTTTCTTAAAATAATTAATGAAGCTCGTGGAATACCGAAAAGTTAAAAAATGTCACGATTTTCATCATTGTTGTAGATTCTCAGGCCACTTAATGACTTAAGGCATGAATATCTAATTAAATATGCATATTTTGATGAAATGCCATTTAGAACGGTTTACTTCTATCAATGATCCTGAAAATTGGACCACTAATGTAGCTTACATGTAATTGCCTTAGTAATATGAGATATTTTAAAAGCTGTAATTTTTGTCACGTGATTTATATTTGAGAATTAACGGTCAAAATATTTACTCTCAAATGGGGAAAGGATAATGAAAGAGAAACAAGTTTCTTTTAGGTA